AGAAAAACCAGGCCACTCCACAGAGAGCAGGAGAGAGGGAGAGGCAGAGAGAAAGGACAGGAAATGAGGACTCAAAGTAACCCAGAGAGGCAAAGCTATGTTAAAAAAAAAACACAAACCTATATTTATCACCTTTAGGCAAGACTGGCCTTCTTCCAAGAGAAAAACTTTCACGAATTCTCCTGGGAAAAGCAGCACAGGACAGGTACACCAAGGTTATATGACCGGGATTGTCAAACTACTGATCGATGGCCAGGCCTCGCCTCTTACATGTGATGCTGCCTGCATCGATTACAAGCTCACATTTTAAAACAACTCATGCAAGAGCAGCCCGCACTTCTTTTTTTCCTTTTTTAAAGAAAAAGTGGGCATCGTGCTGCCTCAGCACAAACAAAAAAAACACTTGCTTGCAAGACAGAATTTACTCTGACTTATGACCTCCTGGTTTTCTACATAACACTTCCATTTCCCCTTTTTTCCCCGTTGTAAACATCTCACTATACAGCGCTGCCACACATCGCTGTGATTTCATCAGGAATTTGGACCAACTTGCAGGCAAGACCTTTCTAAGGAATTCCCAATTATCAATGTAGTAAAGGCGTGTGCATTGCTGGTATTCAGATAGTGGAAACATTCAGATTCAGAAGACTTTATTTATCCCCGAGGGGCAATTGAGAGACTGACCTTGCCGACCATACATACAATACACAATGGCCCTGTATGGTGGCTTTAGGAGTGTCCGAAAAGCATCCATTCAAAATACATTAAGTGCCACAAACGCCTTTCCTTGTTTAGAAATGAGTGGACAATGACCGCTGAAAACTTTAACGATTTATTGACTATAAATGTAGAGATTAAATGATGAGAGAGTTAAATATGATCGGCAGGACTGACTATCTGTCCTGGTGTACCACTCCTTTTGCCCTATGACAGCTGAGATCTGGCTTAAAGAAGGCCTTTAAACAGTGACTATGCACATAAGCATGACTTGTTCACATACAGTTAACACGGAGTCTGTGTTACCTTACTTAACAGAAATCTGTCGGTTTTACTGCAGTTTTTGAACATTTGACAAACAAAAGTGGATTTTATCCTTAAGTAAAAAAAACTGACGGGCACAATTTTTTATGCTGAAAAAACAACAACAAAAAACTGAACTCTGGAGTTGGACGAACTCTTAAGACATTTGATGGATACCTGCCCAAAGACCAAGAAAAAAGGAACAAGGATAAGCTGCTGTTAACGTTTTTACCACAGTACTCGTGTTTGCTTGAAAACCTTTATTGGTTTTAACCACTTTGTCACTATTAGTTTAAAGATTAAATATTTATTACGTTTAGATAAGCTTTAGTTTTACATTTTTAGCTTTCAGCAGAATTATCCAGACAGTAGGCAGCTGCCTTTAGGGCCACAAATAGCATTAAATGTATATGCAGTAGTGCTCCCCAAGATCCTTTTAACCATGATATATACATAAGAAACCGATCAATTATAATTATTAGCTCTAATTTCAGTTTAGTTTCCATTTGATTCGTTTCCAAAGTGGGTTTTGGTCATTTCCGTTTAGTTTTGGTTGGTTTCGGGTGTTTTAAATCACCATGATGTGGGTGGTGTTTGTCAGTGGAAAATAGACATTACAATACAAATATATCTCCTCGTGCTGTAGAGGAATCTTAGCTTCCTAAATACATTTATCTGAAAAGATTAAATCAGAGCATGTTTGGCTTTTTCTGCTTGAAATATAACTCAGCTGACCAATTCATTTTTATGATGTTGTTTCCTGAGCTCTATAGATAACAAACACAGCCTAAGCATGACTATTAAAGCCTGAATTGTGTCATTACTGTGCTGACAACCCTCTCAGTGCGTCCTCTAGCCAACATGGCCAGGTGGCCCACTTTGCATACGGTAGACGCGTCCTTGTCGCAGAGGTTACACAAACATGGCTCTGATTTGCATGAATGAAAAAGGGGTTTTGAAAACAGCTAAATATTCCAATCTTTCTAATCAAAAGATCAATCAGAATAAACTGAACCGAGGTATGTTAATGCGAATCTTGTCTTGTTTTTAGAGGCACTTCCTGACACACAGAAAAGGCATTTCCAGGGAGTCGGTCTTCAGAGTCAGCAGGGCAAACAGGAAGCATAACTCTGACCCGTCAGTGTGTCATATGCCACGCACGCACAGCTCGAAACGCGCTCTCAGACCAACAAAAGTCACTATCAAGTTGGAAAAGTGGGGCAGAGATCTGTCCTTGGTTAAACAGAGCTCTCGCCATCTGCTTCAGCCCGCTGAGCTGCACTATAGTCCGCATAACCCCAAAGTCCCGATGACACAAGCACAGAGAGAAAGAAGCAGGGATGGAAATGTGAAGGAGGAGTGCAAAAAGGACGGGCCGATTCAAGCTGAGGCATGTTGATATGTGCGTGTTTTCGAGTGTGTGCGTATCTATCAGACACAGAGAGCAGGAGAGAGTGTCTGCAGCAGACAGAAAGGGCTTATGAAAAGTGCACTCACTTCACAGAGAGCTGGCGACGTGTGCTGAAAAGCTTAAAAATCCCTCTTTTTTTTTTTTTGACGTCAGCGCTTCAAACAAGGTGCTCGACTAAAATACAGAGGCAGGATCAGACGCACGCCGCAGAACTTTTTGTACAGTTTAGTTAAAGTCTGAACTAAATTTACATCAAATACTGAGCTGAGGCTCGTCAGCATCATCCACTCCTGCTGCACCTTTTATGTACAGCCACGCACACATAAAGACATCAGAAGGCAGCAGCTGAGATGTTCTTGTAAGTTTTCAGCTCATTAGTTTGGAGGGGTTTGAGTCCTATGACACCATTTCGGGAGCATCTTCTAAAGATCTACACGGCAAAAAAAAAAAGCATGCGTTATCAAGCTCAATCTACAAGTAATTTTTGAGAAAGTAGAAGAAGAAAAGCCTATTTTACTAGTTTTAATGTGATGAAATCTAATGAAATCTGCCTGGTTCTAGTCTGAAATGCACTAACTGCAAGTCACTTTGGACAAAGCACAAACAAACTGAGCAATTCATTTAAGGCAGCAAAAATGACAGAAAAGAATAAATAAAGGAAGGAAGGGGCAAAAACTGGAAATTAGTAATCAATATTGTTACGATTAAAACGTTTTAAATAGTTTAAATAGTTAAATAGTTTCTCCTAACTCCTCTACCAGTTGTGCTGTCTTCATGAGCCTGAGGCTTCCTGTTAAAAGGGAGTTCTTCCTCCCCACAGTTGCCAAACGCTTGCTTATATGAGAATCAGCTGATCGTCGAGTTTCTTTTTCTACATGCAGATATAAATTTATCTGTGTCGCACCATCTTAAATAACTTCAGAGCTCAACACAAAAAAGCAAACCCATCTCAACCACAAGATTTGAGTGCGAGCGTTTAAAACGAGGCATGCTGATAAAAATGAACTCACAGCAGACAAACTATGATTTAAATGACTATTTTAATTTTAAAGTTTGTCAGTATTGCTTCACTGTGGGAAATCACATTGAGACCTCTCGTTCTACAACTGGCTGTGGCACAGAAAATCCCATAACAAGGAAATTCCCACGTTTAGTTCCACAGCACTGCTTTTCACAGGAAACAGAAAGAAAACGAAAACTCTCAACTTTATGGCAAAAGTCGCAAGAAAAGCTGCTTGACGGCCGAGAAAATGAGACAAAGTGGTCAAAGCTTTGCCCTGCAGCATTTGCGCAGGCACCCTGCCGCAGGGCAAAGTTGCCTAATCTTGCGAGGACAAGGAAGAAAACAAAATTACAGGGAGTCCTTGGGGAGTACAGCTGGAGAGGACACACCCTCTTTAGCTGATATGGGTGGGTTGTCTTCCTGCTGAGAGAAAAAAAAAAAATGTGGGCTCTCTTTTCACTGCAAATGTTTGCCTGTCACATTGTTGCTCTGTCTTTTTTAGCAGCGGCTCACCACATTTGTTAGTGCCCTAAAAAAAAAAGCAAAGCCATTGGTGGTTATTAGACTTTGTAATGAAGTTGCAGCATGGTAATCACGTCACATCACATCCTGGCCCACATTTATTCTAGAAAAACAGCAGGCAGACTCCCTGTATTAGGTTACAGTAAATTAGCTACCTTGTTATGAAAAAGAAACCTAGCAGAAATTAAAGCATGAATAATCTGAATGAGGGGTTTCAAAAAAAATCAATACCACCAACCTTTATTGACCAACTAACAAGGACTTTATAGTCCTGTCTGCTTCACAGCCAAGTGATCCAAGCCAGCTATATTATCCTGAACAAGCTGCTTTCTGCACATTCTATGATTTTTACAGTACATTTAACAGTTTAGAAGTAATGCAGCAACAATAAACATCAGAGCATTTGCACTAAGTGCTCGCAAGTCCATAATGTAGACAGTATAGCATCACTTTAACGTCCCTGAAGTATCCCAGTGGGGGGCTTAAACTGTTTTTGTGGTATTAAATGGTGAGTTTATTGACCTTAAGGAATGTAAAGGGCTGCTACGTTCATGTGGACTTATAGTTATACTGTGGCTTTCACGTTAACGCACGTAAACCCAACTCACTATTAAAGCGGCGAAACTGGTGTAACTTTGTCCTCGAAATAAAACTATTTTTTAGGGTAGGGTGTAACATAATCAATGGCCTGCCTTAAAAAAAACACACGGGCCTTCCTTATCAGCAGTGACAGTGGAGGCAGTTTAGAAGCGAGCCAGTGTACTACTAATTTTTTTGTTAAAAAAGAAAAAGTAGACACACCCTCTGTGTAAACGGAATGAATGTGATCAATGGTGCGGGGCAGGCGGGGGCTCTTTAAAACGTCCCACGGCCGTAAAAGCCCCGTGGGTAAAGTGTTATCACCGCTCCGAGCTTTTAGGGATCATTTGACGAGCCAGTCCACTTCTTTATCCACGTTTCCTGTCCCAACAACCATTCAGTCCGGAGCTTTCCGCGACAAAAGGCGGACCACAGATACAACAACCCTGTGGCTCACTCACTTACCTGGACATAATTGTTCTCGCAGTAGTCTGCTACTCTCGTCAGGTTTTGGTAACTCTCCACCAGCGCTCTTTTACCGGCCGGAATCTCTTCCTCTAACAACATTTGTAGCTCTGCCATCTTAACATCTCTCCGCAGAGCCTCCCTTCCCTCTCTGCCTTTCCTTTGATTGAAACAGCCACCAGCCCAGCTCTGCCTCAAAAAAAAAAAAAAAAAAAAAACTCCTTTGCCTGCTATTGTGGGATTCCTGCCTGCCCTCGCTTTGGCGTAACGTCAAAGCGAAGATCGTGTGTATTAATGAGGAGGATCACTACATCCGCAATATTGTGTACGAACATTTTACTCTCGATTTTATTTCATTTTAATTCAGCACAAGGAACAGGAGAAACAAGTGTATTTGAGAGTATTTGAGATATTATATATTAGGAAAACATTTGTGGAAAAAAAAAATTAATTAATTCCAAAAATTTTGGAATAAAGAAAGTAATTTTAGGTGAGTTATTATTTTATTTTTTGAAGGAAATGGTGCAGAATAAAACGTTATCTTATTGCAGTATATTCTACAATATTCTAAATGGCAACATTTTTATAACATCAGAGAAAATGCTACATTTTAAAAATTAATAGAACATTTTTAGACATTTTAAATTCATTGTTGTGACAGTACTGAGCAAAATTTTGACCCAGGCTTCATTTCTAGATATTTTTCCTGGAAAATGTCAAACATGTTATTGAAACATGAACAAACATACATGGAAATATAGCATGAAAG